GAGCGGCTGAGGGAGCTGGGGGGGTTCAGCCTGAAGGCTAAACAACCAGTGCTCAGGAAGGTGGGCATGGCTCCCAAACACAACCCCTGCGTGTGACAGCACCCCAGCAAGGCCAAGGAGGTGCAGGGGCTCACCCTGCCCCACCGTTGGCACCTGCCAAACCACGACGATACTTTCACCTTTAAAAAAAATTGATGAGGGCCACCTGCCCATAATCATAGAATCACAGAATCATTTAGGTTGGAAAACACCTTTAAGATCATCAAGTCCAACCATTAACCCAGCACTGCCAAGCCCACCACTAAACCGTGTCCCTAAGCATCTACACGTCTTTTAAATACCTCCAGGGATGGGGACACCACCACGTCCCTGGGCAGCCTGTGCCAGTGCCTGACAACCCTTTTGGGGAAGAAGTTCTTCCTAATATCCAATCTAAATCTCCCCTTGTGCACCTTGAGGCCGTTTCCTTTTGTCCTGTCGCTCATTACTTGGGAGAAGAGACCGACCCCCACCTGGCTACAACCTCCTTTCAGGTCGTTGTAGAGAGCGATCAGGTCTCCCCTCAGCCTCCTCTTCTCCAGGTTAAACACCCCCAGCTCCCTCAGCCGCTCTCTACAGGAACACAGAACTCGTTGCCTCCTCTTCCTCCTCCTTCACCAGGTTTTCCGGTTAATTTTCAGGAAAAGTTTACGTGGGTTGCAGAGATCGCTCGGTGTGGGGATGGTTTTGCAGCATCCACTGGTTACACAGAGGCAGTGGAAAGGATCCAATCACCCTCCCATTCCTTCTGCTCTGGGAAGTGGGCCGTGTTCTCCGCTCACGCCTTATCAACAGCTCTGTCTGCACCATAGCCCCCGCTGCACGACTCCTCTTCACCCCCGTCACAGCAGGACCATGACTGAGTGCCCGTGGCAGGAGACTGGAGCATCACCACAGTGCCGAGCTCCAGCCCTGATTCCACGGGGGATGGTGTTTAATGGCTGCACCCTCTTTTTTCCATCTGCGCCCCACTCAGCCCCTTCCTTGGGTCGCCTAATAGCACAATTGCCACCAGCTCTGCCTTCAGGGAGCAGCCACTAGATGGACCTCAGGATTCAGCGGTTTCACGTGGGAAATGAGAGTTTTTCGAGCACCCAGCCTTACTGGAGGTGCAGCTACTTCATGAATAGCCTTTATATTTTGGTGTGTGGACACCCAGCCTGGCTACTTTGAAGCCAAAACTTGTTCTAGTAAAAGCCTCTTCAGTCCGATGAGCCAGAAAAATTGGCAGCCCTGCTCGTGTGTGGAGCTGATGTGTTGGCTGTGGGCACGGAGCAGTGGGCAGAAGACCTACCCAACTAAAATGTACCCCGCAGGGAGGAGGTGATATTTTTCCGTACTTGCCCATTTCTGTGATTATGGTGCAATTTCTGCTGTTAGAGAGGAGAACCGGCTCCTCAGTGACAGCCGATACAAGGCTGTTTGTTCCACACAGCTGATTTGCAATTCAGAGAAATCGCTTCCCACACACGTTCTCTCTAACATGCCCCGCTGCACTTCACAGGCAACGGTGAAACTCCAGCCATTGCATCTGGAGAAGAAAACCCATCTCCATCAGAGGCTGCAAAATTCAAACTCTGCAGGTGCCTTTGGTAAATTGTTTTAAATTCTGCTACTGTTACTCCAGGGGAAAAAAACAAAACAACAAACAGAAGGCTGTGTTACCTGCTTTTAGGGTGTGGGTTATGATTTCCATGAATAAGGCTTGGCCAATGTTTCTTTCCAAATGAGAACTGAAAGTCAACAGAGATGGAAATTTGATTGCATTTCCATAATGGCAGTTTAACAAACTCCATGTTTTCAAGTTTGTCTGCACTGGTAGTACACACCCGGTCATTACAGGAACATTATCTTCTCATGGTTATCTGCACCCTACGAATATCTGGGTCAAAAGAATGAAAAAGCAGCTCGCTGTGCTGCCTGAATGTTTTTAGAAGGAAATTCCTTTATTTTAACTCCAATGAAGTTTTTAAAGCTATTTTCCTCTAAACTCGTCACATGAATCTTTCCCATACTTTCTGATTATTTAAGCCATTTTTAATTCTTTGCCTGTTTTGCAGAAAGGAAATTAGAATAGGAATGGAATGGAATGGAATGGAATGGAATGGAATGGAAGAGAAGAGAGAAGAGAAGAGAAGAGAAGAGAAAAGAGAAGAGAAGAGAAGAGAAGAGAAGAGAAGAGAAGAGAAGAGAAGAGAAGAGAAGAGAAGAGAAGAGAAGAGAAGAGAAGAGAAGAGAAAAGAGAAGAGGAGTAGAATAGAATAGAGTAGTTCTGTTGGAAGGGACCTACACCGATCATCTAGTCCAACTGCCTGACCACTTCAGGGCTGACCATACCTTGCAGGATTTAGAAATGCGATTCTTGTCCCAGTTTTTTTGTTTTAATTATGGTTTGTTCTGTCTGTTTCAGTTTTACGACGGCGTTTCCCAGTTGTGACAAGGGCCGTAGCTGGTTCCTTTTACAACTGTTTTCCACTGTGATGCTGAGCCCCCAGAGGCTCAGGCGGAGGGCGATCGGTCCCAGCTCCCCAGGGAGCAGAGGAGTTTCAGCAGGGACTGCACTGGGGGAACTGCCCTGGGCCACAGGCAGGGGAAGGGCATCCTCCCCCTCGATGGACCTGGGTGTGTGGGCGATTTAGGGAGGACGGGCCGGTGGTAAGGAAAGGGAGCTGCCCTTTGTGCAAAAGCCGAGGTTATCTGTGCTTCCCTTCGCCTGCCCTGAGCTTCGTTATCTGCAATGCCTGGAGCTCACTGCATCCACGGGAAAAGCCTGTCCGCCGGACCTTTGTAGAGCGCTCACACCCTCCCTGGTTTCCTGCGGAGCCAAGGGACTTTCCCCGGCTCAGGAGGCATCTCCAGCGCTGGCATCAAGCCCCAGTGCTGTTTCCAGAGCCGCCACGGGCCCTGGCCCCAGCCACATCCCCACACGGACCCATCGCTTGCCCACTCTGCAGCAGATCCCGCCAGAAGGATTCCCCCCGCTCTTTCACCCTGGTGCTTTGGTGGTGCTCTCAGCTCTGCGGAGCCCTTTGCTGATCCTCAAGGCATCGGTGGCTCTGGCGTGGTTGCCGTAATGAAACTGGAACTTTCCATTGCACAGGAAGGCCGGATGAGCTGGCCTGGAGCTGGGGGGAGTTCGCTGCCAGCTGCCACACTTGTACCCCTGGGACCAGCACGGCGGGGCAGAGCCGAAAGCCCCGAGACAGCAGGGAGAGACCCCAGTGCCACAGGCGTTGATGGAAAGGCCCTGCCAGAGTGCCCAGGCTGTCTGCGTGGGTCTTCCCTCATCTCAGATTTTCACTGACCTGGGGAGGAAAACGAACTGTCCCCTGCCCGGCTGACCCCAGCTGCAGCTCCCCGATGGACACCGGCGGCAGGGGAAGGGTGACAGGACCCGACGCCGTGCCCTGGGGCAGGCACCGCTTTGGCCCGAGGAGCAG